CTCAGTGATATTTCTGATATTTACGTTCCCAGTAGAAAGAAGAGTTAGCATCCTCCCAACCCAGTGGCAACTTAAAAATTTATAGAAATATTATTAATACGTTTAATGAGAAAATCCTTGGCATTATCACGGCAGATTTTTCTGGAGCTGTCAACTAATGACGCTGCATGGTTTTCTGATTGGCATGTAAGGGACCTCTGGTAAAGGAGGGTACTGGAGGCATTTTGGATTTTCAGTGTTGTATTAATGTTTCTTAAGTTGCTGCACATCAGTGCTACAGAATCAGATCATTTGTTTGGCACACCTGAAAAACAGAGGCTTAAAATACATCCTACTTTTTTTTTTCAATTAAAGTAGCAAAATCTCACACTGAATTCTTGAGAAAAGGCCAAGCTTAACATTATTTATTGTATTCAGTTATTTTAACATAATCCCCAGTCGGCACCCATAATAACCCCTTTAAACCTTACTTTTCAGAGGTAAGAGTTTCTTTTAACTTCTAATCAGTAATTTATGATTTTCTGTTTTCCTGGGAAGTAAATAAATACTTGACTGTAGAATGGATGAGGAGTCATATTATCTTGTCACTACGCACAGTGATCAAGTCGGTAAGGTTGGAAGAAAAAAAATCTACAAAGCTGACAGTTAAGAGATTTACAACAAACAAGACCATTTTAAGGTCACCCAGTCTCCACAGCAACCAGTTGTTTCAGAGTGAAGCCAGGAAAAAAGACTTCTCTTTCCTGTTATCATTACGTATAAATATGGTTGCTAAACTCTACTGGGCCCTGAAACGGAATGCTTTTATCAAATGACAGTACGCTTGAACGTTTCAGCTGCAAACTCTCCCGGTGGGTCATAATACCAAACGCTTAAACATCAAACAGAGTGATAATGACAACATGAAAACAACAGTATAATGCTTTTATCTAAAGTACTCTGTGTGTTTTCTTCTTCCAACCATTATAAGATTATTCTGTTCAGGCAGTGTTGTTAGTCAATCTGATTTGTGAATAAAATCTCCAGACCCCACCCTGCCTGTTGTGTCCTGATTCTAACTTTTAGACCTTACTGTTCTGGAGAGATTGCACAAAAGGAAAATGAAGAAGTCACATTGCATTTTGTGAAGATCTAGCTGAAAGGCTTAGTGGTTTGTGCTCCTCCACAAGGAAATTAAACAAAAGACAGTTATTAAAGTGTTAGGACGGCTAGCGCTGCATGTTCTAATCTTATTAAAGGTGTGTGTTTTTACATATTTTTTTCACATTGTGAGATCATGCTGCTGCAACAAAAAGTGCATTTATTTCAACAGATCTTAACTGAGGTTGTGACAAATTTCAACACTGATGAAAGAAGTGGTGACTACCATTAGCTATTGGCCAGTTAAGTCACTGGTTCCCATGGAAACTTGTGGACACAGGTTAGCTATCTGAAAGGTGCTGCAGGGAAACCACCTACATACTCAATTGCCGGAAGATCACAAGATAACATGTGATGTATGTGTCACATAGTGCAGATACACACTAATATTGCTGGTAAATTGTGTCTTTTCATAAACTTGAAGAATACATTTTATCACAATAGTAGCTCCATTTCTATTGTCCACAAAACTGCAGAAATTGAAGTTACGAAAATAAATGTGTTACATGGAAAATGGCAATTAAAAAAAATAAATAAAATAATAATAATAATAATAATAATAATAAACAAGTTGATACACTCGATGAGGTTGTTCTTCTGTCATATCGAAATGGATGTATTTTGCAAAACTGCAACGGAAACCCTTTTCAAGCATCACACAAGTCTCGTGATCAAAGGCCGGATGTTACCACTGACAGAAACGACAAGGATGGAGACAGGAAGTAGTTGGAGGATGATGGTTTGTTTTTGGATAATATGCAGCTAGCTCCACCAGAGCTCTCACAGCATCTCGCAGTTCATGAAAGGTTGTGTGTCACTCGAACACGTTGAATTCATATCTCGTCTGTAAAATCACCGACTACAATGTTCCGCCAAAATGCCACATACGTAGCCGCTCCCAAGTATAAGCGTCTCACGACTAGCTACAGACTGAATTATGAATATGTCTCATATAACTGTTTACATCCATCGCTGCAATGTTTTTTAATGACTCATTGCGTGAACAAGCTTGTTCATATGTGATTTCAATTTCATTCTTATTTCACGGAGAAACAGCAATTGCAAAATGGCGTCAGCAGCAGAATATAGGCAAAGATTTGCTCACTTAATTAACGGAAACGCAGCTACTGTATGGTTTACATCAGACAGAAGTAAAGTTGGAGCTGGTGTTGCTTCGTATCAGCCTGGTTTATATGCTCACACTTCCACCCAGCTCACATTCCAGGTTATTTTATGTCATGCATCACTTTTGCAGCACGGCTGGACAAGCAGTGTTTGCATGAACTGGAGGTGAAGCGAGTGCACCCTTGGCCTCATTCATTAGTTCACTTCATAACTTCCTCTTTCTCTCACATATATACACACACACATACACACACTGCTGCATCTCTACCTTCCAGTAGTCCTGTACGCTGCAGCAGTGTCACATCCATATTCTCTCTCTTTTTTATTATTATCATTCTCTAAGGTGGTGGTGCTGTCATAAGGTGGGGTTGAAGTGGTGAGGAGATGACGCAGAGAACCCAGGTTATGGTGAAGATGAATTTAATGATGAATGTAGTTCACATAGTCCAAATCAGGCAGCACGGCAGGAACAACTAGCACGCAGCTAAGCACCGGTAGCAACTGACAATGAAGACTAAATCAACTGGAACTGACGTCAACACAGGACTTAACCAGTACAACTGGGAAGACGGACAGACCGACGCAGACTGCAAACGTTTGACAATTGACAAGGACCCAGGAACACAGACAACAGGTGGGTATAAATACACACGGGGTAATTAAGGGAAAGAGACACACCTGGGGAGCAATCAACGGGGAGGACAGGACAGAGACTCACAGGGAAACACGAACACATTGAAAAACTCAAAAACACACAGAAAACCACGGATCATGACAGGTGCATGCTTGTGTCAGGAGACCTTCTGTGAGGAGAGCTGTTAGACATGCTGACTCTCCAGGCTGCGCCTCCTCATGTGAGCCTGGTGTCCTTGCCAGCAGGAAAAGTGGTGCACTGTTGCAGAAGGATGGCATCTGATAGTTGGCCGTTGTTGCTTCCTCTGAGAGGAACGCACGGTTGGATTTCAATTGCCTCCAGCCACCTCTCCCTGCGTCGGATTGACCGGTGATGGGCTACAATCTGGTCAAGCGGACCGTAAAGCATTATGATCCATCGTCGAGTGAGACACGCGCGTCCTCGCCCTCCTCCGTGTCCCTGTGAACTAATTCTGGTATCCGAGGTATTAAATCTCTTGCCCCCGTAATTCTTCCCTCTCCTTTTCCTCTTTCCCTCCGTTTCTGCTCATCACGTTAAATGGAGTCTGGTCGGGACGCGAGCCAAGAGCCGTTCACCCAGCCACCAGGACTCCCAGGAAAAGCAGCAACTGTATTTATAGCTCTGGTCCGCCTGCGCCAATAAAAGTTGGAACAATCAGCAAAGGAGCATAGAGTTCAGTCTGAACATGGATTAAAGCACTTTGAAAATATATAGCGGACGATACTTAAGAGTGTGCGTTTGTGCGGTGCCACTACCTGGGATGAAAACAAACCATCAATGGATGGCTTGGGAAGCAACGAAGACAAGGGCTCAACGTCTACATGACACAAAGCTCCAAAATGATAATATGAGGCGGGTCACAGAGAGGGATGACCCGTCAGATCTCTGGATTAAAGATGGATTACGATGGCTTTGGCCTACTGACCATGTGGTCATCTGAGAGGGCACAACTGAACAGACGGTGCGCGATGCACGTTGTTTGACAAGGTCAAACACAGCGCATTACACAGCTGGATACCTTTTTTGTGTGTCATTGTAACTACATTAACTGACAGCATTTCCACACAACAATAGTGGCCACATGGGCTATATTCATCATGTATTGCATATTCCATTGTGTTTGACAATGAGTTAGCATCCCGTTGCCTGTTTCCTCTATATTCCATTCATTTCAAAACCAGTGTATTCTAGTTTCAGAGAAAGACAGATAGACAGACAGATCTTTTCAGATTTTCTCATGTTAAAGGGAGCATTTAAGAACACCTTTGAACACAGAGGCATGGCAAGCAGATGATTGTTAAATGAAAAAAAATGATGAAACAGAAAACAAGGTGATCACAGGGATTTGTGTGCCTGAATCAAACTGTCAGTAACAGAAGAATCCAGCGAGGAGTGGATGGTCAAATGCTGAGGGTGTGACTGATGGAACAATGGACCTGGAGAGATGAGTGAGTGCAGCTGTGAGAGGAGAGGAGGAGGCAGGCTGAGGGAGAGACGGAGAGAGAGAGAAAGAGAGAGGGTAGAAGGTAGCTGGGGAAATTATAAATCTAACAGTAACAACAGTAACAACTAAACACAAGAAATAAACATGATCAGAGACAAGCTTTATCATGTTCTTAAATAACTAAGAGCAGACTTATCTACTTAAAAATGGAGAATAACTAAGGCGAAACAAAGAGAAGGAATGATCCGAAATCTTGACAAAAACTTCCTTTTTAATGCGTAAAACTTTTACTCTGAAAACAAAGGACCAAACAAAGAATTCTGGTTGTGTCGTGAATATTGCTGAGATGTTGTATCTAATTTTAAAGAGACCAATATGTGCATCATCGCCCCGTCTTTTGGGATCTGGATGTTCTACACTCCTTCTGCTGCCAACCCCAGGGAGGGCGGAGGGGGGAGGAAGCCACCTGTGTATTTTAACCCTAGAGACGTCCCTGGATACAGAGATACACGGATACGCAGAGTGCTAATCTCATGTGACATCATAAAAAAAGACCCGACTTCATTGGCAAATGGGCATCTGTTGGGACTGTTTCCAAAGGAAGGAAGCATTCTGACCAGAAGGGAGGGGAGAGGAAAAAAAAAAAAAATCAAGTTCCGGGTCTTCCCTCGGATCAGCCTTCAAATCCTCATCTCCGCTTGTGTTGACTGACTGGCAGTGATCTCAATCGGCTCACAGATAGCGACGGCGCTCCTTTCAGCGATGCATAGTCTCTCTCTCTCTCTCTCTCTCTCTCTCTCTTTCTCTCTCTCTTAGCGTGTGTGTGTGTGGGAGGGACTAAAGGAAAGCTCCCCTCCGCCACAGCATCGTGCATTAGAAGGAGGAGGGGAAATGGGGGGGAACTCAAAGCACACTCGCCGATAAGGTTTCTTTTTTTCTTCCCCCCTAATCTCTCCTCCTGGTTCTGTGGCTGTAAGAAGAAGAAGAAGAAGAGGGAGTCGATCGGGATGCTGAGGTAGCGCGGTGAGTCCGTCCGCCTCTCTGTGTCTGTTATATCAGTGCGGTGTGCTGATGCGTTTTTTTTTGTTTTTTTTTTTTTTGTTTTTTTT